ATTGAGAACAGCCCCCGCTTCACAGTTCTCCCCAATACTGCCTTCACAACACCGTGTGCCGAGTGCTTAACTAACCAAGTCTAGTGTATAATTGGTGCTCATCAGACCCCGTGACTGAATAATGATGTGGGAGTGATTTCTTATTAATAAAGAAACTGCCTAGACCCATTTGATAGGCCAACCCTTAGGTAGGTGGAGTAAACAGAACGGAATGCTGGGAGAAAGAAGCTGAGTCAGGGAGTCGCCATGATTCTCCCACTCCAGACAGACGCAGGTTAAGATCATTCCTGGTAAGCCAGCTCTTGGGCTACACAGATTAATAGAAATGGGTTAGATCAATATGTAAAAGCTAGCCAATAAGAAACTGAAACTAATGGGTCAGGCAGTGTTTAAAAGAATACAGTTTCCGTGTAATTATTTCGGGTAAAGCTAGCCATGCGGGCGGCCGCGTGCCAGGGACGCAGCCCCGCCGCTTCGTAACACAACAGAATGGCGCCCGACGTGATGGACTAAATCCACTTAAAAACCTGAGAAGGCTTAAAAATAAGTGAGAGAGACTTTAACACAGATTTTTGCTGTTTGTTGGTGGCGTGCTGTAGAGAGATTTCCTGATTCGGCAACAGCAACAGAAAAAAAAGCTGCGTCATTTTAAAGTGCGGCTTCTTGGGACTGTGCCGCCAGTGCAAACTCTGGCTTTAAAGCATTTCAATGGATTTTATGGGACTGGATGTTTGTGTTCCCGCTTGGGATCGGAAGGAGAGTGCTCTCAGTGCTCCCCGCCTGCACCTGGGCAGATGGCAGAATCAGGCTTAGGCAGGCGGAATAGCATGGTGAAAGAGACGTGTTTTCAGACTGCGCAGTGCTCTGCGTGTCAGATTTGGTTGTAACTTGGATAAAAAGAGTTTCTGTGCTGCATGCTCAGTCTCAAAATTAAACTACTGAGTGCGGCTCCAATGAGGACTTGCTGTGTGCCTGGAACTGTGCACAGCTCAGGGGCACCAAATGGATCTGAGGCAGGAGAGGCTGCTCCTTGCTGAACTGTGCTGGTCTCAGGCAGTAACTACCGTAATTACCATAAAAACAGCGCAGTTAAGGTTTCAACTGGGCAGGACACAGGCGGTACCGTATTACCTGTACATGGCACAACTTAAGTTTTTAACAACTGCTTAACATTTTAAGAAATGCTCCTGGATAGTAAAAAAAATGTTACAGATTCACAATAAAACAGATTCAGACATAAAAGACCACACTGTTGGATGAATGTACATAGGCTTCAGAGAGAGAAAAAAAAATAGAAAATAAACTTAATGGTTTAAAAAAAAAAGAGGTAAAGTCTTTAAAGAGACAAAATACAGATAGTTAAGAGATTAAAAGAAATAAAGAAAAATAAGCCACGTAAAAATGGAAAATTCACAGAGAGTCTGGATTATGTACATTGTGTTTTCTTTAAGATTTTTGACTATGAAGGAGCTAAGTACAGAGAGACATTTCATTCTATGGGCTGCCAAATGGAACCAAAACGGATATCATGAGGGTATGACTTCAGAATTTGGGTCTAAGGATATGATGCTTTGGAAAGGGTCTTCTTTTGTTTTCACAGAGGACCAGACCCTGTGGATTGCATCTATCCCGATATGGTATGATAGACCACGACCTCCTGAAAAGTTCCTGTGAACACCCTCAAGAAATTACTTCACTCAACTGCCAACTGAGATAAACCTGGCACACAGGTTACACCCTAAATGATCTGATTAACAGCGCCCCCATTCAGCAGGAAGCAGTTTGGAGAGAAAAAACTGCGCCCATGTTCCCAAAATATTGTTTGTAAATGTTCTTTTACATTTAAAGGGGGAAATGATATAGGTATGAGTAATTTGCATTGGTGTGGATTTTACAGTCAATTTTGTTATATGTATATGTATTTCTGATCTTGATTAAGGTATTGTGATTGTGTAGTTCATTTAAAAATGTAATGTATAATTAAGAAATATAGGTTAATGGTTAATCATCAATAATAGTCAAGCTTGTAGTCATGTTAGTTAGATTTTCTAGATATATAGAGATACATTTCAGTTAGATAGACATTCTTCATATCTTTCAAAGACTGCAGAATATGGCATTTAATGTTTTAATAACTTAGGACTTTTCATGACAATGAGACATATCTGCTCCTGGTGGCACCAATCTACTTCGAGGGAAGATGGGCATCGAAGAGGATCCTTATGGAGTTGGATAGCCATTTGGACAAGAAACTGCTCTTGCCTGGACTGTTGCATAAAATGGACACAGAGAACCCGCAGAGAGAGGACTGCTGAACTTGCCTAAAGGTGAGACGGTCTTTTGGGGTTCATGACTCATGAAAAAGTCTGCGAGACATTCTGCAGAACACAGCAGATAGTGACTGAACTGTCTTTGAAATTTTCTGCTTCATGGAAATGTCTGCTGGATACTATGGGCCTAAAGGCTGAAGATGGATGCCCCAACCATACAAAAGAACTTTGGGTGACTGTCCAGGCAGCAAGATGTCTCTGTCATTTCTAGAGTTTTCTTATTTCTTGTTTACTTAGGTAGTATTATATCCTTCCGGAGTCTTTGATGGAGTTGAAAAATGAATAGATAGTTATAGTTTTCCTTAGTTATGATAAAAGATAAAATAGATATAAATATTGTAACTGTAATTCTTACTTGATAACTGTTTTACTATATGTAATTTTACTATGTTAAAGTTAAAGCCTTTCTTTTTTGTCTAAACAGAAAAAGGGGAAATGATGTGGGAGTGATTTCTTATTAATAAAGAAACTGCCTAGACCCATTTGATAGGCCAACCCTTAGGTAGGTGGAGTAAACAGAACGGAATGCTGGGAGAAAGAAGCTGAGTCAGGGAGTCGCCATGATTCTCCCACTCCAGACAGACGCAGGTTAAGATCATTCCTGGTAAGCCAGCTCTTGGGCTACACAGATTAATAGAAATGGGTTAGATCAATATGTAAAAGCTAGCCAATAAGAAACTGAAACTAATGGGTCAGGCAGTGTTTAAAAGAATACAGTTTCCGTGTAATTATTTCGGGTAAAGCTAGCCATGCGGGCGGCCGCGTGCCAGGGACGCAGCCCCGCCGCTTCGTAACACAACAGAATAAATTACTGGATCCCTGTTTCATAGACAAGGAAAATGGGGGTCACACACATCCCAGTGTAGCAGCTCTGGGCTCCGTATGAAGACTGGCTCTGGACCTAAGCACTGGGCCACCATGCTGCCTGCTGACCGGGCCTTGCAGGCCATGGGATGGTTGGGAAGCACCAGCATCCTACTATGCTGGAACCTGACCATGGCAGAGGCTCCCTCCTGAGCCTGTTAGAGAAATGGCTTTCCAGGAATTCTGTGTGTAGAATCTGGGACCCTGAGCTGAGCCCCTTTTCTCTGCACTTCACCTCCGTCTCCCTGCTCAGAGTCCTCAAAACACAACCAGCAGAGTGTTGGTTCCCTTTACCTCGATACCAGCAGGTAATAAGAAGGAGGGGAGGGGCCTTACGGGGGCGCCTCAGTCTATTGGGTTGTGAGTTTCTTGTGGGACCTTTAGGTTTGAAAACCTTTGCAAGTGCATGTACATGCCTCCCCCGCAACACTTTCTGAGATAACCACATCCTGGTGCCATCCCCCAGACACCCGCAGAAACCATAGTACAGACTGGCTGGGGGTGGGTGGCAGCTGACATTGGGTACCTACTGTGTGCCAGCATCTACCAAGGACTTTCTCCCTGCAGCCCTGGAAATGGCGGAGGGGTGGCCCAGCAGCTGAAGCTCCCTCCAGCTTTGCCAAGTGTGAGAAGTAACTTGCCCAGGATCACTAACAAACGCTTAGTAGGTTGAGGCCAGGATTGGATCCCAGGCTGGGAGTGTCTACTCTTCGGGGCTGCTTGAGAAAGATTTCAGATTATACCGTGAGGATGGGAGACAGGGGTGGGGTGGGGGCTGGGGAATGATTGTTCATGTCCTGGCCTTACTGGGTGGGCTGTGGGGTTTTTTGTTTTGTTTTTCGAGACAGGGTTTCTCTGTAGCTTTGGAGCCTGTCCTGGAATTAGCTCTTGTAGACTAGGCTGGCCTCTAACTAACAGAGACCAGTCTGCCTCTGCCTCCCCAGTGCTGGGATTAAAGGCCTGCGCTTTAGGTGGGCTGTGTTAACACCTAGGTGGATCTCCTTCCCTTGTGGAACCTCAGATTTCCTTCCCTCCTGTCTAATCAGAGGGACCACTGCTGCTGCTGCAGCTCTTTAAACCCAGCACCGCGGCTTGACAGTCCAGGTGCAAGTTTCCCAGGTTCTTCCCTACGGATGCGGACTCACCGACTGTAAGGGGAGACGCAGTCACTTAGCGACACGTTGGCCACCAAAGAGAGAGGCTCAGGGCCCCTTCACCCACAGTGCCGTTTGTTGCCCCCATGTTCAGCCCCAGTCTACAGACAGCCTCGAGGAAGCTAAAGGTACCCCCTTAGGCTCTTCCCCCAGCCTTCCTTCCCAGGCCTCCTGAAGATGAGATGCGCTGCGCCCCCTGCGATGTTGACAGTTCCTGCAGATTCTCACACTCCTCAGCATATCTGGGGACTGGAAGTTGGGGGGCCTGACTAGGGCCCCCCCCCTGAGGGATGTAAGTCCAGAGCACAGGCAGTTAGGATAGCCAAGGTGCTGAGTGTGAAAGTGAGGGGTGTGTATGTTGTGCGGGCTCAGGGGAGGCGTGTAAACAGCGGGGTGAACCGCGTGTGCGCACACGGGGGCCGGGCGAGCCGGCACCAGGCGATGCGCAGTGCACGGAGTGGCTGGGCCGGGGAAGGGCGCCCAGCGTGCTCTGTGTCCCGCGTCGCTGTGCCAGAGCGGCGCGGGGGTGCAGACGCACGGAGTGTGAGGGGCCCTGGATGCCGGGCGCAAGAAGAGGTACTGTATGCGTCTGTCCGTGCCCAGGGCGCCTGTGCCTGTCGCGCTCTGGGGGTAGGCCGGGGTGCGTACTCACCCCGGGTTCCTCCGTGGGGCCGCGGGTCCGACTCCCGTCTCTGCCTCTGCTTGGCTGCTCCAGTGCCGGCCTCGCGCCGTTGGCTAGCACAGGAACTGGACTGCCAGCCGCTACGCCACCCCTGCAGTGTCGCAGGCACCCGCCTCGCGCCGAAGCCGCGCTGCACGGATCAGGGGCTCCGCGGGGCTCGGCGGCCGAATGGAGCAGCGCCGCAGTTCGGGCACGCTCCCAGAAGCCCGCCGCGCGCTCCCTCGCGCTCGCCCGCCTGCCCGCCCGCCCGCTCCTTCTTGAATTTAAAGTGACAACCCCGAGCGCTCTCTCTACTCCAGGGAGCGGAGCGGCGCAGTGAGAATCTGAGTCGGAGATCCCCAAGCGCTGGTGGGTCCTGGGTGGTGCCCAACCCCAACCTCACAATTGTGGGTCCATGGACGTGTGGTGGGGAGCCATGCGCCCACCAGGGGTGCCCTTGCTTCCTTTCTAGGCCTCAGTTTCTTTATCTGTAAAATGGACTCAAGGGAGCCACAAGAAAGCCGACCAGCAGGCAGCGCAGCTACTAGTTGTCCCCCTTTCTCCGAATGGCTAATACTCCCTTCCATGATTGAGTTGTAATTCTAGGCTATACCAGTCCAGGTCTCTTACCGAGATCATCTCTTGTAAACTTTGCAATGACCTCATCCGTGGCCACGCTTTTTTTTTAAGGCCCAGGGTGGATACCAAGGTCACAATGCCAAATGTCAAAGTCAGAATTTGAACCTGAATCTTTGTGACTTTCGAAGTCACATTCTCTCTCTCTCTCTCTCTCTCTCTCTATATATATATATATATATATATATATATATATATATATATATAGCCCTGGCTGCCTCTGGGATTTACTTTGCAGATCAGGCTAGTCTCAAATTCATAGAGATCCATCCACCTGCCTGCCTCTGCCTGCCAAGTGCTGGGATTAAAGGCGCATGCCATCACACCTGACTCAAAACCTTTATTTTTAACTTTTTTTTTTGAGACAGGGTTTCTCTGTAGCTTTAGAGCCTGTCCTGGAACTAGCTCTTGTAGATCAGGCTGACCTCGAACTCCCAGAGATCGGCCTGCCTCTGCCTCCTGCGTGCTGGGATTAAAGGCATGTGCCACCACCACCCGGCTATTTTTAATCTCTTAAGGGTCATACTTTCTCTTCCAGAGGAATGAATGAATCATTCAGGAGATATTTATGACGCCCTCACCCAGGCTCTCGGCACAGTTCCAGGCGTGGGCGATCTTCCATCTTCCGGGAACAAGGGACAGGTCCTTTCACTGCCTGCGCAGTCTGGCAGGGAGATGGGTCGGGTATTAGGAGGGGCTGGGTGGTGAGTGTGGCAGGGAAGGGCGGGAGGAACAAGTGTTCCAGACACAGTAATCAGAACAACGGGCTGGAAAGGCGCTGACTAGGCCTTAGCGAGGGTCTGGGGTATAGTAGAGAAGCTGAGAATCTCGGGGAGAGCCAGTATGGGAAGGTTCGGTTGTCTGAGAGCTGTGTGTGGGTACTGACTTCCCAGTAGGAGGTAGACAAACTTGGTCCACCCTCAACTATAGGGGCCACCTTCATTTTTAGGACCTAAAAGAAAAAGAAAGAACGTTATGGGCTGTGGATGTTTGGTGCCATTTCCCATTTAACTAATCTTCATGGCTGCTTTGGTAAGACTGAACCCATTTCCTTTTTCTTTTCAATTTTATCTATCTATCTATCTATCTATCTATCTATCTATCTGGTTTTTCGAGATAGAGCTTCTCTGTAGCTTTGGTGCCTGTCCTGTAACTAGCTCTCGTAGACCAGGCTGGCCTCGAACTCACAGAGATCTGCCTGCCTCTCCCTCCCAAGTGCTGAGATTAAAGGCATGGGTTACCACTGCCCGGCATCTTTTCAATTTTAAAAATTATTCTATGTGGTGGCGCACGCCTTTAATCCCAGCACTCGGGAGGCAGAGGCAGGCGGATCTCTGTGAGTTCGAGACCAGCCTGGTCTACAAGAGCTAGTTCCAGGACAGGCTCCAAAACCACAGAGAAACCCTGTCTCGAAAAAAAAAAAAACAAAAAAATAAAAATTATTCTATGTGTATGTGTGTGGATGTTTGTATGTATATGTACCACATGTAAGCAGGTGTTCAGGGGGCCAGAAAAGGTTAACAGCCCCTTGGGACTGGAGCTGCAGGTGGTTGTGAGCTATGCCAGGTGAATGCTGGGAACTGAACTCTGGTTCTCACATGAAGGCCTGGCCAACTTTAAGAGCTTCTGTTGGAGGAGCTCAAGGTAAACTACCTGCCGGTTCCCTTCTGGGATAACTCCAAGGGGGCTGCTAGATCAACCGAGACGACCTTGAAATGAACTCTCGTTTAGAAATTTACTAACCACACACAAGTCCACACGTGCTCCAAGAAATAAGACAAGAATGTTGACAGAAACTCCAAACTGGACCACAAAAGCTCACCAACAGCTGTGTGTGCAAAGACGCTGCATAGTGCCACACCATGACACTACTGTGTACTGTGTCACAGAGAGAAGAGATGAACAAAGCGCTCCATTGGTGAATGATGAGGGGTTGCACAAACAAAGCTTTGTAGCAGGCCAGACACCAAAGAACACACGGCTGTTAGAGACCATTTATAGGACGTTCACAAACAGCAAAACTATTCTTTGCTTTTAGAGGCTGGGACGATAGTTCCCCAGGGACGGGTGATGTAAAGAAACTCGAGGAGGCTGTGAGGCTTGAGTGTGCTTCCCCAAAGTCATGTGATGGAGCTCGGGCTCCAGTGTGTGAATATCAAGAGGCAGCAGGACATTTAAGAGCTGTGACCTAGCACGGGGCTGGTGTGGGGAGTTCTTCTGTATATGAGTTGCTTTTATTGGTTAATAAATAAAGTTGCTTTGGTCAGTGGCTTAGCAGAATAGAGCTAACCGGGAAAACTAAACTGAATGCTGGGAGAAAGAAGGTGAAGTCAGAGAGGATCCATCTAGCCGCCAGAGAAGGAAGATGCAAGCCGCCATCTGGGAACTTTTCCCATAGGTCATGACCTCATGGTGGTGCACAGGTTAATGGAGATGGGTTAGTTTAGAATATAAGAGCTAGCTAGAAATACACTTAAGCTATTGGCCAAACAGTATTGCAAATAATATGGTTTCTGTATGATTATTTCAAGTCAGGATGGTTGGGAAATGAACTAGCAGACTCCAACAAAAGGGGACTGTTAGATGACAGGGGGTGTTGGAGACTGTGGGTCCCCGGACCCTGAATTTCCTGTGACCCCCTCCCTGCTGAAGTAAAAAACTTGTTTTTCTATGCTTGCAACTGCTCTGAGCACAAGACCCTCAGGAGTTCCTGATGGCAGGCGAGTGGTTTCTGGTGGGCTTGCACCTGAGAGTTAGGGCACAGCCATTAGTCAAAGAGACCCTGTATAAGCTGCCCTGGACCGCAATAAAGTGAGCATCCTTGGCTGGCTGTGTGTGTATTTCAATCTCCAGACCTTTGTCTAACTCGCGAACCATACCATAGCACATAGCCTGTACTGTAGGCGGGCTGCTACATGGGGGTACTGCCCTTAGAAGGGATTAAAGTGTTTCCCAGGAAATCCTGCTTAGTCCTCGTAGTGATTTGAAAGAAAATGACCCCATAGGCTCAGGGAGTGACACATTAGGAGGTGTGGCCTTGTTGGAGTAGATATGGTGTTGTTGGATAAAGTGTGTCACTGTGGGGACAGGCATTGAGGTCTCATATGCTCAAGCTACACCCAGTGTGGCACACCGTCTCCTTCTGCTGCCTGGGGATCAAGATGTAGGACTCTCAGCTCCTTCTCCAGCACCATGTCCGTCTGCTTGCTGCCATGTCCATCATGATGAAAATGGACTAAGTATCTGAAACTATAAGCCAGCCCAATTAAACATTTTCCTTTATAAGTGTTACTGTGAGGGCTGGAGAGATGGCTCAGTGGTTAAGAGCATTGCCTGCTCTTCCAAAGGTCCTAAGTTCAATTCCCGGCAACCACATGATGGCTCACAACCATCTGTAATGAGGTCTGGTGCCCTCTTCTGGCCTGCAGATATACAGACAAAATATTGTACACATAATAAATAAATATTTAAAAAAAAAGAGTTACTGTGATCATGGTCTCTTCATAGCAATAGAAACCTTAACTAAGATAGGTATCTTGAGAATATTATAAAATAGCAAGGAGCTCCCCTGCTTAGTCTCTTGGGCTTTCTATCTTGCCCTGTAATCTCTCTGTCCCACGCCATAACAGCACTTGCTATGATGTGGTTTAGGAGGCCCTCGCCAGAGACAAAATCAATGGTGCCATCCAATTTTGATTTTTAAGGTTTTTTTTTTTTTTTTTTTTTTTGGTTTTTCGAGACAGGGTTTCTCTGTAGCTTTGGTGCCCGTCCCGGAACTAGCTCTTGTAGACCAGGCTGGCCTCGAACTCCCAGAGATCTGCCTGCCTCTGCCTCCCAAGTGCTGGGATTAAAGACGTGTGCCTCCACCGCCCGGCCTGATTTTTAAGTTTTTTAAAATTTTTATTTCATATGCATTGGTGTTTTGTTTTCATGTTTGTCTGTGTGAGGGTGACAGACCCCCTGGAACTGGAGTTACAGACAAGTGTGAGCTGCCATGTGAGTGCTGGGTATTGAACCTGGGTCCTCTGGAAGAGCAGCCAATGCTCTTAACCAGAGATTGGAGTCATCTCTCCAGCCCCCAATCTTTGAGTTTTTAAAATTATGAACAAATCCCCACAAAGCTACTTTTCCTCTTTCTCTTCCTTTTATCTTTTATCATTTATTTAGAGAGATAGTTCTCAACCTTCCGATGCCGCAAACACTCACACAGTTCCTCGTGCTCATGCTGTGCTGACCCCAATCGTAAAATTATTTTCGTTGCTATTGCATAACTGTACTTTTGCTACTGTTATGAATCATGGTGTAAATATCTGATATGCAGGACGTCTGTCATGTGACTCCTGGACTCCCAGAGGGGTCATGACCTGGAGATTGACAACCACTGATTTAGAGAAAGGCTCTTGCTATATCGCTGACTGGCCTGGAACTATGTAGATCAGGCTGCCTTCAAACTCATGGAGATCCTTGTATCTCTGTCTCTCAAGTGCCAGAACTAAAGGCATCTACCACCATGCCTGGCATACATATAACTTAAAAAAATAAAAACAAACATTTAAAAATAAGAAATACAAGGCCAACCTGGTCTACGAAGTAAGTTCCAGGACAGCCAGAGCTATTACACAGAGAAAACCTGTCACAAAAAAGAAAAGA